ATTTCATTAGATCCGCTTTATGTGAGCATTACTTAGGAAAGACAATGTTTATGTGGTTTTAATTACATAAAACCAGCATGTTTCAAAAATGTCTTGTCTAAAACTTAGAAGGGGAAATTAAAATTAATCGATTGCTACATGTGTAAATTAAAAGAATAGCAATATTCTAATTCTAATGTGTTAGAATATGTGAAAGAGTCCAGAGGACTTTAAGCTGCAAGATGGATTACAAAAAATTGAACAGAGAAAATATTCTTATAAATGAATGGTAGCTGTTTCTTCTTCTATTTTGATTATAGATCCTAAATGTTTATTCAGAAATAAACTTTTCTGAGTTGGATTTATTGTCTCATTAGTTACTCAGGAGTTTAGACTACTGAGAGGTCACTTAAGTTTTCCAGATGTTGTGGACTACAAACTCTTGCAACCCATTTTTATTCTCTATAGTGTTTGGCACCAATGGAGTTTAGTTGAAGAATACCTATGTATGTCTAATACAGATGTAGGTTTGACTGGGTTCAACATGATAATGTTTGTTTTGGATATAGCTGTCTTCTCTCAGCCTAGAAGTATAGGATGTAAGCCATGAATTCTGTCTTACAGAAATGTATTAACTCAGCTTATTATAGTTTATTTAACAAATGGTGGTCCCATTTTAACAAGATTATACTATATACACATACACAATTTTTCAAGTTGATCTGGTATTAGCTTTATTTCTATTTTAAGAATTAAAAACTTTAATCAGATATAAAAGTATTTACTTTTATATCTATAAAGTATATTGAAATATACTTCAATTTACACAAAGGACTAAAATGAGCTGGAATGCAATTTAAAAGATGTGTGTAGTTTATTCCAATTTAAACTGTGGATTTAGATCCATAGAATTTGATAATTTGAGTTGGATAATTTGAATTTGGAAAACTCAGGTTGTAAAACTCAGGTTTTACAAATCAATTTAAGTACATTCACATTCACAGTGATAATTTAAATTAAATCCATGATCCAGTTCATGATGTTGATATCTAATTGCCTTCAAATGAAAACATTGAAATGAAACTTTATACTGCCTTAATATTTAGGGTACTAAAGGCTCAGTACATGAACTGTGATCTCCTAAGCTTGGCATATTACTAGTTCAGAAACATATTTCACACAGTTGAACTACCGACGTTTAACAAATTTAACTTCTAAAAATGTAAAAGGAAAAACATGTTCAAAGCATGATTTATTAAACCAAGTACCAATCTTTCTCCCTCATCTCTCATCATACATCTGAATAGGAAAACTGGTTTAGTCTCAAATTAGACAGACTATGAAACAAGGTTGGGAGTTTTTTTTTTTAACATGAAAGCAAAATTGTTCACAATGACCCATCATGAACAATCCAAATTGTGATTATACATAAAAGAGAAGTTCAATAGTGTAGAAGTTGTAGACTTACCACTTCCAGGTAACCAAAATCTGAATGACAGCTAAATGGCAACAAAGAAATACAAAAATCTCTATTTGTTGCCGTTTGCAGCCCACAGATAGTACACCACTTGTCAATCATAATATAGTAACACATACACTGAGAGCCAGTTTGGTGCAGTGGTTAAGGCATCAAGCTAAAAACTGGGAGAGTGTGAGTTCTAGTCCTGCCTTAGGCATAAAGCCAGCTGGGCGATCTTGAGCTAGTTTACTTTCTCTCAATCTAAGAAGGGGGCAATGGCAAAAATTTCTGAAAAACCTTACCAAGAAAATGGCAGGGACTTTTCCAGGCAATCTCCGAGAATCAGAGTTGATTGAACAGAAAGAAAAACAACAACACATATATACATTAGGATAATGCTAACAGAAGATGTACATTACTAAGATCCCTGACTCCAGAAGTAACAGGAACCAAGGGTACTTTTGCCACCTATTCCCCAAGAAACACTTAGTTGAAGGAGCTGCTACAGAATTGTGGAAAGAGAAACTTCCAAAAGATAATAACATGGATGAGAGAAAATACAAACCTCTCCCCCATCCAATGTATTCTGCCCTCACACATAATTAGGTTTGATATTGTCTCATGTAGTTAATCTTTATACAAAACTAAAATGAAATAAATATCTTTGAGGCTGAAAGTGTATCCATGCTTAACTTGGGAGCCAGATCAATGCTAGGTAGTTGAATATGTTCTTAATAAACAAAATTACACTGTAATGCAGTAAACCCTGAATTTCAGCCTCAGGCAAGGGTGGAGAAGCTTCTTGTTAACATTCTAAAGCATTGCAACATAGTGAATGATGTAAAATGTACATTAAGAGATCAGCTCTAATCATCAACTTCATACATATTCATATATCATGTGGGAATGAATTAGATGCTTAAGTTTTGGCTCTGGTTGGAATAAAAGATGAAGTAATCCTTTAGCACATAAAAAAACCTATACGTTTGTGTGTGTGATCTGGTTCATATATTGCATTGAACCATAGCTTCTTTAATTATGGTTTGCTGAATGAACCATAATTGGCTAGATTCGCATATCTTTTGATGGGATAATTGGCTTGATTCCCCAAAACCTATATATGGACTAGGTATAACTCTTTAATACTAATAATATTATGTTAAGGCTTCTGATCTGTGAGCAATTTTGTTGCTTACTTTTATTGCTTAGGAGCTATAGTAATGTGCCATAGATTTCCTTTCTGTCAGAATCTGACCCTCTGGATTAAATATTTAATAGTGATATTTAAAGTAAGAGGAATGGCAGCAGTATCATCAACATGTGAGCTAGTATGGTAGTGTGAATTCTCTACTATGTTTGATTCTTGCTCACCAATAGCTGCAAGAAAGCACGTGACCAAAGAACCCAGGAACAATGATATGTTTTGACTACTGTATTCTCTAATGGGTCCTCAATATAGCATCCATGGCTGGCACATACTTGCTTTTTTGTCCACTTACCTCCCTGCCCCCCTGATTTTGTATTTTCCCAAAATTTTATTTGAATTAAGTGGAAAGGTGAAATGTTGCAGAGTGTCCTGCTTCTGTCCTGTTTCAATTATACATTACACACATAGTTGCTATAGAAATTATTAGTTTACTCAAGGTAACAGCGGACAAGGAAAACAAACCCAAAAGCTTGTCTAAATGGTTTTGCTTTTAACAGGACCACATAGAACTATAGTCCAGATTCAGTCCAATGTTCCAAGAGCCAAGTCAGGATTGTTAGCCAGTTTAATCTTTGGCAGAATTTCACAAGCAGAATCCACATAAGCATCAGCCAAGAGCCATAGATTAGATGATGGCTTCTAAAGAGGGATCATGGGGTCAAGGTTGCTTCATAAATCAGCTCACAGCAGATTTATTCTCTTGTTTATCAAGGAGCCACAGAGCCTAACCCTAACCCTCATGTAATTTTAAAGCTATAGATTATTAAAATCATGCTAATAAGTGAGTATTAACAAAATCAACTAAAACATGATTACGTTAATCATGTCAACATAAAAAATTATACTTGTTTCTATGTAGTCATAAAAAATATATCCTTATTTAATGGGGATCATTCAAGGCTTGAATGATTTAAAAAAGTTAATATAAACCCAGATTTTGGGCGTGGTAGAAGTCTGTGGAATTTGGAATCTTAGTCCAAGCACAGTTTAATTATGACTGAATTTGTGTTTCAAATATGAGGCTATTTCAAATTCCCAGACATATTCATACTATTTCAATGGCCATTCTCCCAACTTTTGAATGCATATCACCTTACTGCCATACTGAAGTTATCTATACGTACATTGTGCACTGGTTACAGACTTCAATACCTGGAAAACCTCAGTTTGTCACAAACTTGTTATCAGGAACAATTTCCAGCTATTGTGTCTGGCTGTCCCAACTGATACTGAACAAGAAAACTTGTAGCTGGTAATTCAAGAGTTTGGCTTTTGATAAGCTAGATTTTTTGTTTTTACAAAAACAACAACTAAAACAACTGTTATGAAAAAGTATAACACAATGTAAGGTTCTTGACCTATACATCAACAATCAAATTCAAATCTTGTATATTGCATAAATAGGAGAAAGAAGCACATCCCACTTTGGGATGGAAGGAGCAATTAACCCCTGTATATTGTTATTGTAATGGAGCAGTTTGGGCTCAGCTTCTAGCCTTGTCCAATCTCACCTTTGCATATTGGCAGTGACAGATGTAGCAAACAGGCCGGGAAATAACAGAGGTGGCTTAAGACATTGCATTGCCTGGAGTCCATACTTCCAAGGGATAAGGCTAGAAAAATCTTGCCAAACTATTCATTTCAGATTCCAACCTTCATTTATTTTCCCTTTCTGGTGTTGTCAAAAGTATGTCACTTCACTCTACTCCCCAACAGAGCTGATGAAATAGAGATGTGCAAAGAACACATGATGATATTCTTTGTTGGGGGAGGGGGTTGTTATATTGATTTTGCAATAAAGAGGAAACTTATTTTAAAACTAGCTGTACCCAGCCACGCGCTGCTGTGGCTCAGTCTGGTTAAATGGAAAAGAAAGAAAAGAGAAAGCGCACATTTGTGTCACAGGTGTGACATCTATATAATAGTAGGTATATAAAAACACGCGCGTATTCGAATGCAACGTTGTGTCAAAATTTCAAAGCAATCGGTGAAGAACTTTCGGAGATTTAAGATTTTGAACAAACGAACATTTACATTTTTATTTATATAGATGATGTGGACCCATCATTCTTCTTTTTTTGTTTTGATTCTACATCCTGAGCATAGTCAGAGCATAGTGTCTCTGATTGCTCCCCTCTGCTGTATGGGACTGAGCAAACAAGAACTTCAAAACTAGGATTGGCAGAAGTTAGATCTGTAATGTAAAGTTATCTTTTCAGGCACATACCTGCTTGACTTGGGGAGAATTTCTATGGAGACGGAGATTCAGGGAGGCACAAAGCAGGTATTTTCTTCTTGGGTTGCTATTTTCCCCTCACTATTGGAAAATCCCTGATGATTGTTTGTTTCTTTCAGCTGATACTCTTAATGCAAAAGTTGACTCTGAAGTTTCCCTGTTGAAATGGGTAATGAAAACAGCAGTCAAGAAAGTCAGGTGAGTTCTGAATGAACATCATTACAGAAAACATTTTCTTAGAGTTACTAAATTGTATAAGTTAAAAGATAAGATTCATAATGGATAAAAATTTTTTGATGCTAGTGACTTCAGTGCATTCAAGGCTATAAATTGCCATTCGTGTGAATGGAGGGAAGAGAGAGAGGGCAAATTGTGTTTCTGTTTGTGCAAAAGTTACTAATGTAGAAGTCAAAAAACTACATCAGACGTCCCCAACCTTTTGGGCACCAGGGACCGGTTCCGTGGAGAAAGGTTTTTCCACAGACCGGAGAGTGCGTGGTTTTGTTTGCTGCCTGCATCCCACAGATAGGGCTTTGCTTGTTTGTGCGGACTGGTTGCTGGCATGCCGTGGCCCAGTACCAGTCCGTGGACCGGGGGTTGGGGACCCCTGATCTACATCACCAAACTATGTGTGCCAAAGGGGTGAGTTAGTAATTTTTGAATTCTAAAAAGAAAAATAATTCAGAAAATGCTAAAAATGTCCCATGCTATGATTTCAGCAGTCTAGAATAGAGTAATATTCATCAGTTGAGGAGAAGAATTACTGGTTTGGAAATATTTTGGAATCCTCTTCAAAATTCTAAGCAATACATAGCCAGTAAGATATTAGTCAACAAGATAAGTTCCAAGGATCTGGCAATGGGGAAATCAGATCTTTAGAAAAATAGAGTGGTAGAATGGGTGAGGAATATTCCTTGCTCTGTCTTATCAACTCTTAAATTGTTTTGCTGACCTAAGCTTTTCACTTTACAGTTTGTGTACTCCTACATCCAGAATTGTGTATATTTTTCCCACCCATCAGATCCTGTGTAATTGGATTTTCTATGCCAATTATGTAGGAGAAATTAAAGAAAACTGTGCAGTTTTACTGATCTTTCTTTCACACCCGCATATAACCACACAGAGTGCTGCAAAACCTTTATTTATTTTATATATAAATTGTGAGAATTGCCTGAGTGTTTGTCATCTGTAGGAATTTGGTATGTTTTCANAATAATAATAGTAAAGTTGGAAGGGATCTTGAAGGTCATCTAGTCCAACCCCCTGCTCAGGCAGGAAACCCTATACCATTTCGGACAAATGGCTGTCCAGTCTCTTCTTAAAAACTTCCAGTGTTGGAGCATTCACCGCTTCTGGAGGCAGGTTGTTCCACTGGTTAATTGTTCTCACTGTCAGGAAGTTTCTCCTTAGACTCTGCAGCTTCAAGTTGCTGCAGTCATTTGCTGAGATGAACAGGTATAGAAATCAGATAAATAATTAAATATTGTAAATACATACCTACCTACCTAAATGCTGGAAAAATTAATGCTGTGTTTAGAAAATATTACAGTGCACTGGAAGGTTTGCCATAGGTACAAAGTAATGAACACAAACACAATGAAAACCTCTAACCTCTGCGACACAACTTTTTCCTAAGATTTAGTATTACTGAAAACTGCAATATATTGTAGAAAATTAAGTTACGGTCTTGAATGTTCTAATAGTGGAACTTAATTGCTTTCATGACAATAGATTGGTCATTTGGTTTCCTTTTGGCAAATTGTTACTCCCTTGTCATTCCTCTGAGAGTTCCTATATAAAGGACATTCCATTAAATTATAATGTGCTGGTGCATTTCATATAACGCGATCAATCAATCGATCGATCAACAGACAGAGACTGACTGATTTACTCGCTTACTCTTTGGATTCTATCTATCTATCTATCTATCTATCTATCTATCTATCTATCTATCTATCTATCTATCTATCTATCTATCTATCTATGAGAATCCAAGGATTCATAGAGTTTTACAGTAAAAAATAATATTGATAAAAATACAATGAAAACAAATTATAAATAATTATCAAATAGTGCCCACCAACGTAATTTGTGGAGTGTTTGTTGTTTTTTGTTTAGTATCTTCAATTCAGTGTTAACTCTTGGCAAATGCCAGGACAAGTCCTTACACTTTTCTTGGCATGATTTTGGGAAGCCATTTGCCATTGTTTCTCTCCTAGAATTGAGAGAGAGAATGACTCGCCCAAAGTAGGGCCAGAACACATAGTCTCCCAATTTCTAGCCTGATACCTTAACCACTACACCAAACTGGCTTCCAACATACACTGTTTCAGAAGCCAAAATTGTGTTCATACAGGAAGATTGATAGTGAAGCTCTGTACAAGTCTACTTGCAAAAAAGCCTCATTAGTTTAAACCAATCAATATCAGTGAAACTCAAAAACCTGACTAAAACAATTTCAGAATTACTCTAACTGCAATATAGGACAGTGACTATATTGTCTGATGTAAACAAAAATAATTTAACTCTTTGTTCCCAGACTATTAGTTAGATAGCCATTTATCTACAGAGATACAGACTATTTGACTACAAAGCAGTACAGCCTGTTCAGGCCAGCATTTTAACAATTGTCTTGTGTTCGTAGCTGGCTATTTCAGCAATTGTTTCTGAAATCAGACTCCTGACACCAGGGGGATGTCCTTTGGTCAACTTCCCAGTGTTCACTTTCAACCACTTATGGAGGAAGTGAGTCCTTCAGAATGAGGACACTGATGAATTTAGCAGATGAAGGTTTACGTCTGTGCCAAACAGATTGGTCTGTCTGTGTAGCACAAAAATACAAATGGGAGATGCAAAAAAAAAAAAAAAACCTAAGAAGGTCAGTTTTACTACAATATTTTTCCAGGGCTTCATCTCCCTGCAAGCACAGTGTTATTAGGAATGGAAACTTGGTGTAATTCATCCAAACTGACTTCCAGCCAAGACACAGAACTATATCATGTTGCAACAACTGCCTTAAAAGGCTCTGTGTTTATAATGAGGAAAGTACAGCAGGAANATAAAATTTGTTCCAATTCACTAGTAGACTTTATTGGCAAGATTCCTGCTCTCTTTGTCTGTGAGGTTATTTTTATTTAATAAAAAAAACTTGTTTGATGAAAATTTGTTTTGGATACTTGGATTGTTCATGCTTATTTTATTCTTGCTCTCAAAAGGCTAGTTTACACATTATAGCAATTTATTTGTTTTCTTTACACCAAATAAGAATATATTTAATATTACAGTACTATAGATATAAAACCATAGTAGTATAAATATTAATTCTGGGAATCATCATGTACTTTTGATTAATGCAATGTTTTTATCCAAGTGCTCTTGAGATTATGGCTGTCTATTCATAATCGTGTTTTCTTAAGCAACCCAGTTTTCTAAGTTCACATATTAGAGTGAAAAATAAAGTAACAACATCAGTCTTTACAGCACATTAGACTAAAATACCTACATTTTCAGTGCTACCATTTACTATATATGTATTATGTGTATATACATGCATTCATTGTTTCTGTGTCTCTTATACATTTATGAAAACTGAGTACTGAGTGAAAAAGTTTTATTTGCCTATCACTGGACCTGTCCCAACCAACCAGACAAGCTTCATAAGTCTCCTCAATCAGGGTCAACCATAGTAGTAAACCCAAAAGAAGAAATATGACTTCCCCTTTCTGCCATCTGAAGAATTGCTAGTATCTTTTAACCCAGTATCGGTAGAATATAGAGAGGCCTAGGCATATTATATTCCAAGGCATATTATGAGCTTACAATCATACTCCCAAAACACCCCTCTCAAAAATCTGTGTAACATTTTATTAAGAATACAAAACAGCAATGAAAAACAAGAATAGGTATCAGTCTTAAAGGAGGAGCTTAAGCTTCAGAATTATAAATAAAGGCAACATAAGTAGACCCATCTAAGATATGATTAGACCTTAAATAAAATTATCTTTGAAAGAAACAGAGCACTTACTTTGAGCAGAAAATAAAATCAAATTTTATGCTACTCTATCTGGTTACTAACCACATCTAGAAAAATTATGTGAGAAATTTCTTGCTCATAAAAGATTTCATCACATTGCTTTAGTAGCAGTATTCTTAATTGGTATGTATATATGTGTATGTGTGTATGTACATGTATATATGCACAATACAAGTTTAAAAGCTCTCTCCTTTCCTCAGCCATCTGCTTTTTTCAGAGAAATTCAAAAGAACTCAAATTTCCAACAAATTTGTTTCTTGCTATTTCATCTCAAGAAAAGGGGAAATGTTCTTGCTCATAAATTTAACAAACCTATTTTTATAGACATCTTACTACAGGTAGAAGGACAAAGGATTAGTCTATAGGTCAGTTGTAGATATCTTCTCATCAAATGGGGATTTTTATAAGTTTTCATTATGAGAGGTATCTGTTACATAAGGGATCTGTGTATGTGGAATAATATAGTCACACATGCAATCACTGAAGAATAGAAAATAAATGGAAGAAACTATTCTTTCAGTTCACTCTCCAAAACTTCATTTAAGGCAGTAATGTAATACTAGCTTCAGATCATCTGTGCTTTCATTTTCACTCTTGAATGATTTCTTGCATCTTAAAACACTCATACTCCAAAACCTGTATGTGGTTATAATCAAGATGTTAGTGCAATTACAGATCTGCCTTGTCTTCCATTTTTTAAATGATGCCAACTATTTCAGTCTAATTAAAATACAAGTACAGAACATAATAGTCTGTTATAAATGGGCAATATTTTAAGGCTTGGGCGCTGCAGACAATCTATCATCCTTCCAGGGGACAAAGGAAGCTGTCCAGTATTGTGGTGTTGGCTCTGCAACGGGGGAAGTGATCGTTTTCAATCTAATTTTGGATATTTTAAAGGTTAGGATGAGAATGATGAAATAGCAAACTTCATATTCACCTTAATCTTTGAAACCTTAAATGTGGACTAAACCTTCTATTTTCAGGGCAGGTGTTGGAATGTTTTCCATACTTACAGTTATATAAGGGAAAAAGAAAAATTATCTACAGATTACTGAGTCTGCCATAAACCTAGAAGTCTCCTATAGTCCATGATTCTCAAACAATAGTGTTTTAGTTCATATATAATATGACATTAAAGGGAAAAAAAGCAAACCACATAATGGCTGAATACATTACAGGAGATTAAACACGTCTTCTAGTTGAGTGTCTTTATCTCTACATGGTAATATCCATGTAATTCTCTTGATAACCATCCAAAAGAGGTTTGCTATTATCTTTTTCCATAACAGCTTTTGCCTTTCCAGTCTGATTGACAGCTCTGGAATTTCCTGATACTCTTTCATCTCTAGCTAAACTCAACTTGTTTACAGTAGCTTTAAAGCACAGAGAAAGTTGGCTAGGGGTTGTCACCTGTCATTCACAACTGGATTGCATGTAGTCAGAATTATTGTTGTGTGGTATAGTTTAGAAAATAATAAGCTATATTGAAAGGGGGAAATTCCAACCAAATGTTCCTCAGATATCCTGCTGTCAAAAACATATATTAATTCAGCTGTCCATGGTTAGGAAGAAACATCATAAACCTCCAGTAGTTTAAATGAAAAGGATAATCCAATGGGAATTATAATACAAAATAAAATGTAGAAGCACTGAGTCCAATAAGATTAGTATCTGTACTTATTATATTGTTTAAGCATTATATTTTGTATGCATATGATTCTTAATATTTCAGTTTATTATTACAATGGCCTAACAAACACCCTACTGAAACTGAAAGCTTTCTTTGAGACTGACATGTTATTGGTTCATGTTTTTATCATGAAACATGATATATATTGAACATTTAGTCTATTGCAACAAAGGCAACAGAAAGTCTTGTGTTATATAAACACAAGAACATTAAAAGAACATTAAAAATAATTTTTAAAATGCCACAAATTTCTTCTTATGTAAATACCATTGACAAGTTACCCTCATTCTGAAGTATATTTTTTGTCATTTTAAAAAATATATTTGAAGGACAGCTTTTTCTCCTCTCTGCCATACTAATAGATTTCCTGATCAAAAGGAAATGGTCAATGGGCTGGAAAAAGAGATAAGGATATATATTCCTAAGAGCCAACTAAGAGCGTCACATAGTTGTTCATCTTCCCACACAATACTCAGTTCCAGACTTTTATTTTACGATTATTTGTTTATCCATTATTTGTCTTTGAGCAACATTAAAATAGGACATTAATAAAGGATACAATTTTTATTTTGCTATTAAAAAAGTAAGTATTCATTCTATTGGTTGGTTGCTTTTTAACTCATGTTTTGTTTTCCTTTCCCAGGAGGGCCCTTCAGTTCCAAAATCAACAGAGCCATTTAGTACTGAGAAAGAAATAAAAACTAAAAAGTCAAGGAAAAAGAGCAGAGACAAATCACTCAACCAAGATGGCTGGGACACGTTACCATCAGATTCTGCAGTTTCATTACCATTACCAGATGAAAGTTTCTCATTAACTGCAAAAGATACAAGGTAGGCAGGAGATGTTTTTACTTTGTTAGTGAAATAAGTAACTGGAAGGCATAACACATTTAAAGTTGACTGGTGCCCAGGAAGTTGTTGCCTGGGAAATTTACCACAGTAACTCGAATAACATTACAAATTAAAAGTCACTTACTACCCAATTAACTGCCTTTTTATATTCATGGGCAATACAAGAATGTAATAGAATTTTAATATCATTTCAGTACATGCATATGATAACCTAAGGGTTCTTATTCAATGTAGTACCTGGGAATTAAAGAACAGGAAATTAATTATTTTGAATTAAGAAAGAATAAAATAATGACCCGCTTTATGTAGTACTACAAACTTTGCTATTAATATATATATCCAGGGCTTTTTTTCAGCCGGAACGCGGCGGAACCGCGTTCCGGCACCTTTTTCCGGGCCGGCCGCACCGGGCGCAACATCTGGGGGGGCGCGCTTGCACTCGCAGCTCTCTGCCCCTGCCTGGCTCACAACCGCGGCCATAGGGAGGCTCGGTCGGCGCGCCCCTGGCCCGTTTCCTAGGCGACCCTGCCCGAGCAAGAAGCGGCAGAGAATCCAGAGGCTCTCACGCCGGCGCCCTCAAAGCCAAACGCGCCCCTCCCAAATTTTACTTGCATTCCTGTTCTCTAAAGGGGCGGTCCTAGGGTTTGATGAGGGCGTGGCCAGGTTTGGGTGGGGGCGTGGCCAGGGGAGGGAGGTGAGTTCCACCACCTTTTCTCTGAGAAAAAAAGCCCTGTATATATCCCTGATGATGCTGGGAGCTCCCAGCGAAAGCTTGGTTTTAAATTAAAGTTTTAAACTTTTTTACTCTCCTGGTGATCATGAGTTTTTATCTATTTTATAATATATATATATATATATATATATATATATATATATATATATATATATATATATATATATATATATATATATATATATATATATATATATATATATATATATTTAAAAGACAACAAAGTGATCACCAGGAAGTATAAAACAATACAGTTTTAATAAATAAAACCAAGCTTTCGAGGGCCTAAAACTGCCATCATCGTCAGGGTATAATCAGGATGCTGGGAGAGCTTGCTTATAAATACAGTCATGTCTGCGCACGGCTCCTAGATCTCGTGAGAGGTCCCGGCCGGCCAATCCTGGCCTCATCTGCAAACTGAGTTAATTCTTCCTTACCTCCTTTACCTAGATGTGTGTTACCACCCTCCTCCCCCCTTTTTTGTGTCCGTATCTCAGGTGGGCATCCTCTGCTTTCCCAGGCTGGAACGCGCCTCCCGTCCTTGGGCTGATTCACCCTTTCACAATCCCCAAGGACGGGAGGTGCATTCCAGCCTGGGAAAGCAGAGGACGCCCACCTGAGATACGGACACAAAAAGGGGGGACGAGGGTGGTAACACACATGTAGGTAAAGGAGGTAAGGAAGAATTAACTCAGTTTGCAGATGAGGCCAGGATTGGCCGGCCGGGACCTGTCACGAGATCTAGACTAGATCTAGATCAAACTAGAGCCATCCACAGGCTTGGCAGTCGCAACTGCAATATTATATGTGTTTTTCAAAATTTGGATTGCTAACAAAGAATTAAGGGAGAACTGGAATAGCCATTTCGAACATTTTAGTTCTTTTCAACCAGACATACCCTTCTGAGATTTGAACCTGGGCTGTCTGCATGTTAGGCAGATGTATTAAAAAAGATTCTTTTCTCCCATATTTGGGCCGACAGGGTGCACCAAACTCAAAATAATATATATATATATGTTTTCTGAGGTTTTCGCGGGTGTTTGTATGTAGGTCTTTAGTTATTCGGGTTTTCTCCCGCGTAGAATTAGAAGTGTCTTGGCGACGTTTCGACGAAGTCACATTCGTCATCTTCAGGCTGGTGTCTTCAGCTTCCTGCTTCTGGGAATAGTGTGTGTGATCGCAGCTGTTTCTTCCTTTTAACTGCCAGTGGGGTTTGAGCTGATTGGGTGGGAGCTTGGCTGTGTTCTGATTGGGTGGAGATGTGTTCTGATTGGCTCCTATATGTGTGTGTGTGTGTGTGTGTGTGTCTGTATACACATGCATACATACATACATACACATACATACACATATATACACATTAGTTTCCCATGTGGCAGTTAGTTAATGTCTGGGGGTTTGGGCTAGTTTTCCTTTCTGGAAAGTTTGGCCTTCTTTCAGTAGGAGGCTTGAGGCAGAAAATGAACTGGAGGGAATGAATAATTTCTAGAAGCACAAAAGAGCAAAGGTCAGCAGATTTTTCAGCTAAAGAGCAAGGCTGCCCATTTATGGGGACACTGCTCTGAGGGCTCAGGTAGGAACCAGCAATTCCCAAACCAGAGATGTCTACTATGGAAATATACAAGAACCATTTTACCTCAAGAATTCCAAAAGGATGCACCACATATTTGACAGTTTGAAGGGCAGGAAGAAGTCACAAGTTTATTTTTTTTATGCCTCTAATGGTATAAAAATAATTTTGATCTTCTCACTAACAGTAGGCAACCAATTTATTTATTTATTCTTGTCTGCAATAAAAATTCTATCTAGCCAAGCTGTCTCTGTAAGTCTTCTACCAAACTGAACCAAAGAATCAAGCTAACTTATGAAATGTCATAATATTCCATAATATGAAATGTCATAAAGTCCAGCGTGAGAAGCTGGACAGATTAATTTCCCACTCCATACCTTCATCACTGTGGGAAGAGAGTGAAGGTCTAGATTAAAAAAAAAAAGGATGGGAAGACTTAAAAGTGCATTGATTCAAATCACAAATGTCTGACTCTACCGTGATAATATTCTAAGGGAAATTGATTTTTCCATTTCAAATTTGGGATTAACAATTGTGAATCTGTTCCTTTTTCTACAACCCCTTTTCTTTTTCTGGCAGTGGAAACTGGCCTGTGGTGTCTGACTTGGAGGAAAGGGAGTCCCACCAATCCCTAGCCCCAAATAATCTTCTTTTTGCTGGGATTGACATAAATGAAGAGTTAAGGACCCAGAATCCTCTCCTGACCAGGTATAGATAATTTGAGGAAATATCCTTGTTTTTCTGTGTACTTATGGATTTGGATTTGCATCTTGTTTATGGAGGTTTTTAAAAAAAATGCAACCATAGATAAGCTTATTCTGGCTTTTTGAGTTTCCCTTACATAGTTTTTGACTATTTATTAGATTTTGGTTTTCTGAATGACGTTGTGCTGCTTGAATTTTGCATGTTTCTGAAGTCTTGGTTTTCTTATCTTTTTGTTCTTAATTGTTCAGGCTACCTGGTCCTCCCCCTGATCTGAGAGAAGTTTGGGGAGCCTGTCTATTTAGTGGCTCCTCTTCTCTTCCTGGCCCTCGCATCTGCTTTCTGCTTTCTCTGGAAGTCTGATGGTGTTGACATTTCTATTTCCTCAGATGATTCTTAGTATTCTATTGTTTCTTCAGTCTAAAAAATGATGCTCAATTCAGTTTCTTACACTGGTATAAGAAAAGTAAAATGTACCTTATGGAATTCTGAAAGTATTGCTAAATTTCTTTCCACCATTCCAGCTATTACATCAGGTCCAATTGCCTAACCCTGTATGCTATATTTGAAAGTAAATGCGTGTTTGCGTGGCAAATCAAACTTTATGTGCAGCATAATCTGTTTTGTGTTTGTTCTCATGAGGCACCTCAATATATTTAAACATACTCTCTAATAATCTAAAATTGGTAAAAAGCACACAGAATGAAATGCCTGGCTGACTGTAGCATATATTTCAAATAAAAACAGCAAAGGCATTTTTTTTGAATAGTCATAAAAATTGATTCCTGATTGTATGAATAATTGAGAGTAAATTGAAAATAAAGTGGGAGGGGGAGATTCCTCTTGATTTTCAATGATGTGCCATGATGGTGGAACCAGGATGAGGAAATGGATCTTACAGAAAGAAGCTAAATTAAAATTATATTAAATACTGTAAATATGATTGTTTCATGTGAATTAAATAATTTCCCCTTCGGTTATATTAATAATTATAATTTAATGCTAATTTTTGCAGTGTGGCTTCACCCAAGGCGTGAAGTTCTGAGGTGTCTTGTACACTCTAATTACAGGTACTAGATATAGAGTTGCTTCAATTTATAGATAAACGTAGATCAGATATATAAGTTTTAAATCTACTAAATTGAGTGGAATATCCCCAGCCAAATACTGTGGCCACCACTTTACTTGAAGGCTTTTTCTATTTTTGAATTTTAGGAAGGCAGTGAAAAGAGAAGCTTTATTGAATTCCTAGTGAGTTATCTTACACTGTTGGTAATCTATATTCAATCTGATGTCTTGTAACTTGCTTGAACCTGAACTTGATTGTTATCTAGGCAGAATACAGTATTCTCCGTTTTTCTAGTGAAAGTGCTACAGTAGTACATAGTTTGCATTCCCAACTACTGAAATGTATCAGCACTCATAAAACAGTTGGGCATAAAGCAAATATGGTGAGGTCAGATCCTGCAAAAGTCAAGATGGAAGTTTCTGACAGCAAATACAGGCCTACCAGATCTGGACTGCAACAATCCAGACCTCAAGCCTGCAGCAAAATATTACCCTGAGCTTTGCTGCCCTCTAATGATCATCTGCATTTTTGCAGGCAAGATCTGCTGATTGGGAGGAACAATGATGTGAAGTACCAAGGAACAACTGATCAGTTTCAATTTAAGAAGGGAAACAGAAAATGGTTATCAAATTATGGAAATAGTAGCAGTTTAATGCTGTTTCATTGGAACTGAATAAGTCAGAGAAACATGTAGAATAAGAATCAGAATGTTATTTGGCGAGGCTTTCTAGTACATGAAAATACTTCGTATTTTAATTTGTCTTAGAGTAAAAAGGCATATCATGAATTGGTAAGCATCCTACACATTTGTTCAGAATTCAGTATTGCTACATTCGTTGCGTTTATTCCATACTAAATTGGATTGAGATTTTAGCTGTAATTTATTACATACAGAAGGATGCAATATAGAAGTCTAAACTAGATCTCGCAAATCCAAATGGAGTTTCTGGACTATTGGAGCGATAATTGCCAGAATTTCCATTGAGAATTTTGGGAGTTACAGTTGCTGCATACTTGAAAAGTACAAGACTGAGAAATGGTGATCTAAATTAAACTTAAAACTGGAAGAGCTTTAAAATCCAGAGACATGTGGTCATATCATCTAAAATTCATTTCTGGTCTGATAATTTTTCTATATTCTGTACTCAAATCAGGATTAATTGTAAGTCTATCATGAACATCAGGTGAACCAACTGACAATTCCATAAATTCAAATATCTAATACAATAGCACAAAATGCTGTTGTTGTGGAGAGAATAGGAGATGGAAGGAGTATTATGTATGTTCACCTCCTTGAGCTACTTATAAAGTAATAAAGGTGGAATAAAAATCAAATAAATAAATAAATGCTACAGGAATATATTTGCATCTAATGATTCTCTTGCAGAAATTTTATATCATTGATGCCTCTGACTTCTTGCCTCATGAAATCAAACAGATAGCTTTTCAGTGCATGTGCATGCATGGCTTTGAAACTTCTGTGATGTGGAATTTATTGCCAAATTGAAATGAATAAATGTTTCCATTGTTGGCAGCCTAAATAATGAAGGCCTCTGTAGTATCACTGCTGAAGAATCAACCAGTGAAAACACTGTTGTGGCACAATCAGATGTGATGGCACTGGAGAACAACCTGCACAAGGGAGATTCCTTGGGAGGCACTGAAGAAGAAGGACAAGATCAAAGGCAACAGATGCCAATGCTCTCTAAGCATGGTGAAGGATGCACTCCACTAAGTTTTGAAAGTAGCACTGAAGGCTTGCCAGCCATGATGTCAGACCCTGCTATTATAAATGATAAAGACACCAGAATTGTACCTCTTGTCAGTGGAACAGATGCTGACTGTTATGCTACTACTTCTGCAAGAGAGTATGAGAAAGATCCAAATAATACTGCTTTGGAGCAGATTCCTTCATTAGATTCTACTTGGACACCAGGATCTGAAACCGAGGAAAGCAATTCCAGTGAATTAGATTCATTGCAACAGAGTGAACTGTTGACTGAAGGAGAGAAGACACACATTAACCTGTGGCCTGAGAGTGAGAAAGACAGAGATTCTTTTACCATTAAAGAAATCAGACAGGAGACTGAATTGGAAGTGAGCCTAAATAATGAAGGCCTCTGCAGTAACACTGCTGGAGAATCAATCAGTGAAAACACTGTTGTGGCATATCCAGATATGACGGTGCTGGAGAATAACCCGCATAAGAGAGATTCCTTAGAATGTACTGAAGAAGAAGGAAAAACTCAAAGTCAATATACGCCAATGCTTTCTGAGCGTGGTAAAGAATGTACTGCACTAAGCCTTGACAATATCCCTAGAGGTTTGCCTGCCTTGGTGTTATACCCTGCTATTGTGAACGACAAAGACACAAGAATCGTACCTCTTGTCAGTGGAACAGATGCTGACCATTATGCTACTACTTTTACAAGACAGTATAAGGAAGATCCAAATAATACTGTTTTGGAACAGATTCCTTCATCAGATTCTACTTGGACATCAGGACCCAAAACCGAGGAAAGCAGTTCCAGTGAATTAGATTCATTGCAACACAGTGAACTGTTGACCGAAAGAAAGAAGGAAAACATTGCTCATCTGCCTAAGACTGAGAAAGGCAGAGATTCTTATACCACTGAAGAAATCAGACAGGAGACTAAATTAGAAGAGAATAACAAGGAAGAGGCTTTAATAAAACCAGTGGGACTGAACACAGGTAGTGTAGACAACTTGGTAATGAAAAAAGAAAACTGTATTCCAAATAATCTCATAACAGGAAATTCAGACATTAATAAATATGGTACATCTGGTATTGATCAGAGCATTGTTGAGTTCAGAGGTGTCATCAGCGAAGATAGCAACAGTGAAGTGAACAGAGGGGACAGTCAATTCCAAGTATTTCCAGAAAGGAATACTGAGGTGCTTGAGGATCCTCCTACTGTATCCAGTTTGTCCTCAAACATGTCAAACCTGTTACCATTAACCATGACAGAACAACCAATTGGTGACTTTTCATCTGGAAAGGAATGGCTAGAAAAGGCCATCAGTCCAAAACCAAACCTCTATTGTGTGGATTTACCAGTTAGCGTGGAACCTTCTGATGCATCCTTGTTGCTAGAAATAAAAAACAAAATGCAAAAAGCAAATGCATCTCAGAACACACCAGAACAGATTATAAAGGAAATCACACAAACCGAATCTATGAGCAGGGGAAATACAGCCTTAGCTGACCCAGAAAATGTTATGTATATGGTGAAGGAAGAATCAGTTGGGGATAGACTGTTGTTACTTGACAGAAGAACAAGAGATTTCATGAGTGAGAATGACCTTACTGAGTATAATAAAGAAGAAACTATAATAGCTGTTTCTTCCAGAAACAAAGAGGATGGATGTCAAGAGGTCCCATCCTCAAGTCAGGTTATACATGAAGATATAAACTGCCCCCAAGAGACACCAATAACTTTTGATATGAATTCAAGACAGATCAGTCCAGATGCTGCCTTGGATGATTATTGGAGTTCTCAAGTAAGTGGTTTAGAAACCAATATCAGCGGCAACATTTTAGAAAAGAACCTCAGTTCAGTATGTAATCGGAATATACTCAATGATCATTCACCAGAATTAAGTGAGAACTTGGAGCAAAAAACCACAACTATAAATGAAAAAAAAGTAGCCAGTCTTGAGTCTTCTGAACAACTACTTTTACAAGGAAAAGACAGATTGCAGACTTGTGATCTTTTAAATTCCAGTGTAGAAGATATTCAGCTCTGCTTCCCAGTCAATAAAGAGAATGAGGTTGCAGATGGATTACTGTCTCTGCATTCTGAAGACAATGATATTACGCAAAATAAAAAAGAGGAATCCTGGGAACAGCCATTTGCTCAAAAAACCAAATCAGAATTGGAAGACCAGTTGATGGATGAAATAAATTCAGAGGATAATGCCTCAAATGCAGAAATAATTGCAGTATCTAAAACAGAACTTGAGTTCCACAACTTAAACGGACAGGCCAGAAGTGCTGAATGTCTTGCAATTGAGAAAACAAACATTCTAGAGGATGAATCCCACTCCGAAAGTAAAAGATGTGCCTCAACAGCTGGCAGTGACCCAAACTCTGTACCTGTGACTACTGCTGAACAAAGCAGTGCTGTGGGGAAGAATGAAGGTAATGAAGCTAGACAGGAGGAATGCAAAACAGAGATGAAAAAACAAGAAACTGACACAACTTTGGCACAAGAAACCCATATCAAATTGGACTCCACACGGCAAGTGCAGCTGGAACAAGCAACTGAAGAAAATGACCCTTGTATAAAACATGATTATTCTGGCAGCCCTTCAGGATCAGCAGTTGGAGCAGAAACCAGTCTGCAGCCATTAAAGCTTGGAGACGTAGGTGATAATAGCCTAAGGCCAAACAATTGTCCATTCATGAGCAATGATTCCGAAGAATTTTTGGAAACTCATCCCAAAGAGTCTGTGGAAAATCAACAGATGGTGGGCATTTTAATGACATCTCCCCAAGTGCAGTCAGACAAAAGCTCAAAGCCCTCTGGCACCATCTGCAAGGCAAGTGAAGACAAACAGCATATTTCAGACCCTGAAGGTAAAGACCTGGATCACGATGGTCTTCAAGCAGTTGCGAGTTCCCAAGGACAGAACTCTAACCAGACGTGTCCTGAGAGGCTACACCCACTGGAATTAAATCATTTCACTGGCCATGAGGAGCTTGATAAAAGTGAACTACAACAAACTGGAGACAAACTACACCAGCTCCAAAAAGTACTTGGTGGGCCAGAAGCAAAACCAAATAATCTATCAAATGAAAATGCATCTTTAACACATATTTCTGAATTTGTGGGAAACCCCACACAAAACAACAGCCTGCCAAACGTATTAAACTCACTGGAGGAAGAAAGTCATCTTAGCAAAGAAATCTTAAACAACTTAAAGCAAGACCTTTCTAATTCTCTGTTTTCAGATGGGGCTTTGGAAGGAGCAAGCCAGAGGGGTGCATTTGCTGAAAAATCTATTACAGTTAAACAGTTGGGTGGCTTAGATGAACGGTCAGACAGCAAATACACAAGCAATACTGACGTTACAGACTTTATTCCAGTGACACAGAAAACTGCTAGTGTCAGTACTGAACAGGCACAAACCCTGCAGGAGAGTTTAACCTGTGTAGGTGAACAGTCTAAGGACAATGGGACTGATGTTAACTTACCAAGCAAAGAACCAGAATTGGATGAACAAAGTTTACATACAGAGATAGAAGAGCACCTGAGTTTAATAAATGAAACTATTCTGAAAGATGAGCAAGTAACTTGCAAAGGGGACTTAACTTTCCTGCCTTCTGAAAACATAGGAATGGATGAACATCCTCCTGGATTACCTAATAGCCCAGAAGTTCCTTTGAGTGATGCTTGCCATAAAACATACCCTGTTGAAAAGACTGACATCCTATCTGTTAGCTCTCAAGCAGAACCAAGACCTCTTTCAACATCAGCACTTCTACATAATGAACCCAGCCAAGTAAGCTGCCAGCCTGCAGACTTTATGTATCATAGCCCTAATGTTGAATTTAAAAAAAGTGAACCAGAAGCTGTGGCATGTCAAGATGTCTTAGATACCCCTTCCAGTCTGCAGACTGCAGCTGCTACACCCATTGACTCAGATGATGCTTTTGTAGAGAATAGCACAACTGATCAAAGGAAACCAGAAGTAATGAATTTAGATGATATTCCTTCAGAAGCTGTTCCAGGAAAAGGATCTTGTATTCCAGGCCAAGAGTTCCTTTCAGAAGAGCATGTTTTAACCTTGCAGGATGTTTCTGAAATCAGGCAATCTGAAAGAAATTTGTCACCATTTAATTTCAAGAAGCTGCAGGATGAGATCTCAGCAATTAAACTAAAAGGGGATAAAAGTGATGTACATTTTAAAGCCCAGCAGCTTAACAGCTCAGCAGAATCTCTACTCAGCCTTTCAAGTTTAGAAAGGAAGTTTTTGGACTTGTCGTCACTCGATAAGCAAGCAAATTGTAAGGAAGACACTGCAACAAATATAAGTTGTGAAGATAACAAGCACAGTAACATTGAAGAAGAAAGCAAATGTGATTTTATAGAGAAATTTAACCTTCCCAAGATTGAAGTAGATGTTCCCAGGCAGCCTGCAGCAATATCTGAAAAAGAACCAGATATTTCATCTTCCAGGGCATTCAGCATTGGCTTTTTTGATTTCAGGAAACATATTAGCAAAATATTTGAACAGGTAGTACCAAATGCCTTGCCTGCCAATTTGCCTAACCTTGCCACTGAACAGAGTCTGAGTGAGAGGGTCAGTCCAGAAGATAAAGAAATAGAGGTTAAGCAGGAATTGGAAAAAGCTGATAAAAACAATGCAGATGGAGACCCAGAGAATGACTGGAAAACAAAAAAAAGCATACTGCCTTTGGAGGCTGAAATCACTAAAGAGAAAATAGCACAAGAACAAGAACACACAGGAATGCTGGCAAACAGTCAGGAATACGATTTGCCAAGTGCCTTTTCAGAAAAGATCCCTATCGACAAACATTGCTTAAACCAAAACTCTCTTGCAACTTTCCCCAAGTTAGTTAAAGCGGACGGCTTATGCAGTCATGAAATAAATGCAGAGTTTCATGATCACCTTTGCTCTTTAAGCAGTGATACTGCTGAGAATCAAGTGAGCACAGAAAAAGTAGAATTTCAATCTAGAAGTTCCGGAAACCAAGAAATGGAGAATCTGCCATTTTCTCCTAAAAATGAAGAATCTTTAACAATTCCTGGAGTTGTTCCAGATTTTGATGCCACAGCCGCTGCTGCTGAAGTAAAGGAAGGTAACTTAATTAATCTGTGTAACTTTGAAACAGATGAACCTGAAAAACAGTTCACGTATGATGGAAATAAAAACATCAACAAGGGAAATAGTGACAACAGTACTGAGCTAGCCAAGATTTCAACACTGTCATTTCTTAGAGATGATCTTGATGCTCATAAAGAACAAACAGATCAGTCCAGGATATTGCTTGATGAAAATCCGATTTTTTCCAATGAACATACATTACAGAACCAAACTGTTACAGTACTGGATGCCATAGATAGCAATAATTGGTCCATAGAGGAAGAGAAGGGACAGGACACAGCAGAACATAAGCTAATTACTTATTTTAAAAATGAAGTAAGTCCTGTTGAGTCCAAATTGGGATCCAGCAGTGTTCAAGAGAGTTGCATAGAAAAAACAAATGACATCAATTTGAGCACACTAGAAGGACCAGGTTTTTCTACTGATATTCCTAAAGCAGATACTGCAAGCATGCTAATCACCAACAACTGTGATGCAGTTTTGCAAGCCAGCATAGACATTCAATCACCTGATGTAAAGAGGCATTCAGAAACCCTTCAAGGGATGGAACAAACTGTATGGACAGATGTGGATATGGCTTATTTAAATCAACTCAAAGAAGAACCTTTAGGTTTTCAAGATATCCAGGATATAATATCACCTTTTTCACATTCAGAATTGGAGCAAAGCTTTCCTAGTTTGCTTGAAGACATGGCAACGGAAGAATTACCCCCTGAAAGGTATTTAATTTAAAATTAACTGTAAAAAGAATTCAGTATATTGACATTCAAGCAAGACAGCAGTTAGGGAGGATGGATCAAGCATTTTTTTAAATTGAATTGAACTTTGTTTAGCATGTTTTATCTTGCAGCAGGGATGGCCTACTTAGGAAGAGCCCTTTAATTCTTCACCCAAAATTAATGAAAATACTGGATTTTAAGGAAGTAATGCAACTTTTTACAGCCTTAGAGCTGTACAGATGCCAGGTTTTTCTGAGTGCTAACACTTAGGCCAGTGGTGGCGAACCTATGGCATGGGTGCCAGAGGCGGCACTCAGAGCCCTCTCTGTGGGCACGCGCACCGTCGCCCCAGTCCTAGGCCTTCAGCTGGGTTTTATAAAACCTTTTCTCTTTAGGCTTCCACTGCCGTGTACAAAAAAAAAGGTTCAATCAATCAGTCAATTTCAACTTCTCGCAGGAAAAAAAAAGATTTTGCAAAGTTAGAATTGATTGATTGAACTTTTTAGTCCCACCCAGTCTGCTGTTACCACCGTAGCCATGCCCACCCAATGGGCCACAGCCACCCAATGGGCCACAGCCACCCAATGGGCCATACCCACCCAATGGGCCACACCCACCTGGCACCCGACGATGCATAAGTGGGTTTTGGGTTGCAGTTTGGGCACTCGGTCTCTAAAAGGTTTGCCATCACTGACTTAGGCTATAATTCAATATACACTTTCCAGGCAGTAAGCTTCAGTATACAACTATTAAGGTAACAGGCTAGAAACCGAGAAACCATGAGTTCTAGTTACACCTTGGGCACAAAGCCAGTTGGATGAGCTTGGGTCAGTTACTTTCTCTCAACGCTAGGAAGGAGGCAATAGCAAATCACTTTTGAAAAACCTTGCCAAGAAAACTGCAGGGTCTAGTCCAGGCAATATCTAAAGTAAATTCTGACTCAAAGGAATGCCACCACCCTAAAAAAAAAATGCTTTACTGAAGTCAAGGATCTTACTTCTGGATATACAATTTAGGATTAAAAATGTATATCATTAGAATCTCTCAGTTGTCAGTCATATTCTAGTACAGTGATGGTGAACCTTTTAGAGACCAAGTGCCCAAACTGCAACCCAAAACCCACTTATGCATCATCGGGTGCCGGGTAGGTGTGGCCCATTGGCTGGGTGTGGCCAATTGGCTGGCTGTGGCCCATTGGGTGGGCGTGGCTGCAGTGGTAACGGCAGACTGGGTGGGACTAAAAAGTTCAATCAATCAATTCCAACTTTGCAAGATCTTTTTTTCCCCGCAAGAAGTTGAAATTGACTGATTGATTGAACCTTTTTTTTTTTTTTGCACACGGCGGAGCCTAAAGCGAAAAGGTTTTATAAAACCCAGCTGAAGGCCCAGGACTGGGGTGACGGCGCGCGTGCCCACAAAGAGGGCTCTGAGTGCCGCCTCTGGCACCCGTGCCATAGGTTCGCCACCACTGTTCTAGTAGCTATAATCAGATAGCTCTACTTTAGCTGTGTTTATTAATACAAGATCTTATATATAAAGAAAAAGTTACCTGGAATATCTCTGACTGCTATAGTATAATTCACCTAAATTACTCAAAATTCTTTTCCAATGTTCCCTGGTATTCCAAAATGTTCATTTTTATATTCATGTTATTTTAGAATTTCCAATGAGATTTGATTGAGATCTTAATTTATATGGCATAACATTGGTATACAGATGTGTGGGGTCTGAGGTTTGCAGGTTTATTTAGCAAATGTATATAGCTATAAGTTGCTTTTTTATGTAGCATGTTCAAGATCATTCTCTCACAGAGAAAGCAAATGAATTGTTAATATTTCACAGCTGAGGAACAAATTAAGAATACTACAGACCTGTTCTCTAGTTTTATATCCACGTTTTTCTTTCCAATTTTTAACCATATAATTGCCTACTGGATCCGTACAACAAACTGTAAAATAGCCATATTTTGGTTGGGTTCTTTCGGCAAACTACCTTTTAGTCTTATATTGTTCATGAATCTAGTCATTATTTCAGTTCTTCTTCCCAAATTCAAAGAATCATGGACCAAATGGGAGAAAAAAAATCTTAATATCTAACCCTAAAACTATTTTTAAAAAATTAGACTTGTACCAATGACTCATTCCAGGATGTAGCAAACTTTTTTAATTATTTTAAGTATATCTTTTAGGGCAGTGGTGGCGAACCTTTTAGAGACCGAGTGCCCAAACTGCAACCCAAAACCCGCTTATGAATCGCTGGGTGCCAGGTGGGCATGGCCACCAAGCTGTCATCTCGTGCTCGCTCGCTCGCTGTCCACTCCGACTCGTGCTCACTCTCTCGCTGTCTGCAGCAAATGCTGCTTCTGCTGAAAGTTGCTCCTTTTATAGTCTCTCGCCTATTCCCAGACTGCGCATGTGTGGAGAGGAGGAGGGAGCAGCTCAACCCACGTGCCATCCGAGACTGCTCCACGTGCCCCCTGTGGCACGCATGCCATAGGTTCGCCACCACGTTTTAGGGTATTCCTGATCTTAACTTTGAAACTGAGGGAATGTTTTTCTGTGAATTATTATCATATTTGAGCCCACAGGCTTCCTTCTGCATTAACTAGTCTTGTCATAACCTTGTCATAACCTTTCCCAATCTCTTGCTGTACCTGAAAGGGGCACTCCAGCGTAGCTGCCAATGAACTTTAGCCAAGGCTCAGAGAAAGACACTAATTGTTCTAGATGCTTGGGGATTTGGGACCTGCAGGGGGGAGGCTCTTTAAATAATTTCTTTATGAAAAAGATTTGAACACTGGACATTTAGATTCACATAACACTCTAAACCAAAATAAAACAAACCATTTTATGGCAACATATGTGGTGGAAATCCAGCCAATTGTGGTTTAGTTGATAAATTATAGTTAAGCAAAACATAGCTAAGTGTACTCCATGAAACACAGCTCAACATTACAAACCAATTGCAACATTGGTAGATTTTTAATACTAAAATTGCAAAATAGTAAGTGGAAGAAAACTGCTTTATTGTATCCATCATTGACCAAGACTGAGCCAGGGAACTCAGCATTGGATGAGGTAAATTATTAAGACTATATCTTATTTATTTATTTAGCGTATGAAATGCAGTAGGTCTTATTTGTCTAGGGACAAACTATTTCCAGCAGAATATGATGCAACTTTTGAGTGATATACTAATTTATATAAACTTTTGGGGCTGTGATCAAGTGTCATGAATATAAAACTGCAATACAAATCAGCCAAAAGGATGTCATAATATTGGAACAAAAGGAGAAAAATGAATTCAGAATGACATATGTACATAATATACATTAAATAAGCATCACGTAGAAATTAAATGAGGATGAGAACTCATCTATATCAAATTACCATAGTTAGGACATACAGTTTACATCAGTAAGCAGTTGTGATATGATATATTTTGACAGATGTACTTTTTCAGTTCTTTCAAAATTAATTAAATCTGTTCAAAATGAATTTAGAATATTTTAATATTTAAATCAAATTGGCAATATTGGAATATTGCAGATCATATGGAGGCAATACATCAGTAGATGCTGACCATGGATCTTATTGTAGATTAAAGTCACTGACATGAATATACTATATGTGTGACATTAAGCTAATAAACAAGTAATAATAGTAAAAGTATCGATATCAGAAAGTAATGGAACAATGGCTCCAACTTTTTAATCTTGTTAAATAATTATTCTCCAGCAATGCTTGAAAAAATATACTTCCATGAGGAACACACATTTACTGTCATATTGTTATATCTGCTTTGTTTGATTTGTATTGTATTTATTTCCCTACTTTTAATTGTTAGGATTTTTGTCTGCTTGGGTAGGTTAACTTGCATACAAAGACCTGGTAAAGTTTTTCAGGACACTCACAAGATGCAATAAGATTGTCTCACATGTAAACAGCAGCTATTGAAGACACAATATCCTTGTCAGAAGAAACTTGGCCCTACTTTTCCCAGATAGATCTGAAGTCTAGATTTCTGACTTAAAAAAATAATCTTTTCTGTTTTATTTTAGTGTAAGGATAGATAAAAATAATAGTCCAAGTTGTCATGTTTGAGTATGTGTTCACTTTTAGACTAGGCCCTAAATTAACAGCCCCCAAAATAGCCATTAGTGTTTATTCATTGTAATAGATCAACTTCCATATAATAAACAATGCAATAAATCATGTAGGTAAAATAAATTGCTAATAGCTTTATAACATGAAAATGACCTATAACAGTGATGGCGAACCTTTTAGAGACTGAGTGCCCAAACTGCAATCCAAAACCCACTTATGCATCGTCGAGTGCCGGGTGGGTGTGGCCCATTGGCTGGGTGTGGCCAATTGGGTGGCGTGGCCAATTGGGTGGGCGAGGCTGCAGTGGTAACGGCAGACTGGGTGGGACTAAAAAGTTCAATCAATCAATTCCAACTTTGCAAGATCTTTTTTTTCCCTTGAGAAGTTGAAATCGACTGATTGAACTTTTTTTTTTTTTTTTGCACACGGCAGCAGAGGCCTAAGTGAAAAGGTTTTATAAAACCCAGCTGAAGGCCTAGGACTGGGGCGACAGCTCCCGTGCCCACAGAGAGGGCTCTGAGTGCCGCCTCTGGCACCCGTGCCATAGGTTCGCCACCACTGACCTATAATATCCTATTTAAACTCAGAGTTTTCATACAGCCATCATGGCTGAACAAATTTTTGCAATACTTTGTGATTTCTAAGGAATGATGCCTTAATAGAAAAACTGCATTCACTTCCATAGAGCAAGGTGATAAATAAGAAGGAGAGATATTGGTTCTGAGCATCACAGATGGTAGAACTGATAGCTCAACAAATTGGCAATGATTTAGTTTCCACTGCATCTTCCCCATGAGGGCAAGTTTGATCTTGGAAGAGAATGTTGCTATCTATCTTCCCAGAAGCAAAGATGTCATTAAACTTGGTAAGTATAAATGAGGAAGACAGAACTGA